ATAATCCTGGTTTGTACTGTAAGTGGCTGAACTCGAAGAGGAACTGGTCATTTTGGATGACTTGGGAGTAGTCTTCCGGAAGAATTTTGAGAGCCAGGTTCCTTTACTCTGACCGTGTCTCGGCTGAGGTTTCATCGCCGTGGAAGTTACTTCACTATTTTCATACACAGGGTATTCCGGGTATAAGTAATCGTGTTCTTCACTAGAATCATCAAAATCACTGTCTTCAGTGTTTAGGTAATCTTCTTCATCATAATCATCATCGTCATTATCATCACCATCACCAGGAGAAGGAAAATGGGGGTGGGCTTGACGCATAAGATGTCCTAGTGGCTTTGGGAGTGTTGGCGGTGGTGTTTTAGGAAGCGTCTGAGGCGTTTCACGTTCCATGTCAAACTCCTCGGGATATAGGTAGTCTTCTTCTGCTGAGTCTGGCTGGTTATCGTCATGTTGGTAACCTTCCAAGTGGTTATCATTGCTTGGCTGAAGTGATGCAGTTCGAACAGGAGGAGGTGGACCTTCGTTATGTCCATCACTGGGCATGTTCTCAAAAGACTTTCTGTCTCCATGCTGTTGCAGCTGCGATGGTGCGTGCTTCGGCGATAATGGTGGCGAATGCAGATACTCTGGTTTTGGGGGTCGCGGTGGAGGAATGTCCAAATAATCATCCGACGAATCATCGTTAACTTCCAATAGAGAACTAGCGGAATCTCGAGGAGGAAGGCGAGGTCTTACTTCCACATAATCGTACAGCACATCAACATTGGGCTTCTCTTCTACTCTCAGGTAGTTTGATAGAGATAATTCCACCTTTTCCAGGTCAGCGCCGTCGTGGATTTCTCTGCAGAATCTAGCGTACGTGCTATCGCCATTTATAGCTCCTTCCGCAGGGTGTACCGTTACATCTAAATCAGTAGGAATCATTACAACCGTGACAGTATTGTCCCATCGACTCGTAGCAATGATTGTTGACTCTTCAAGTTTTTCTTTCAAGAGAACGGAACCGAAAGAAAGCAAATCAATGTCTTTGTTTACATCTTGTATCAGGGTTTCACAACAGCTGAATTTCACACGAACTGGAAGCTTAAATGCGGACTGGGAGTTTAAGACTTCTTGCAAATGAAATGTCTCCGCTTTCGCTAAAGGAACGAAGGCAGCTTTGAAGCTCAGAGGAAGCTTCACAAGGTCCCGCGTTTTATTGGAAAACTCGCAAAGAACATATTTTTCGCGATATTCCTCGACGGTTTTTACCAGCTTTAAAATGTCGCCCGCTTTTAACCCAAAGGAAGGTGGACTGTCGTGCACAGCTTTAATAAACTTAATAGAGGGTTCGTCGACAATGTCTTGCACACTGTAGTACATGTCCTGGCAGAATGTGGGAAGTATTTCCACCTTGCCCGGAAAATTTATGGGAATGTAGAAAGGTTTCCTATCCGCGGCTTTTGTAAACACCTTGTCGGTTCTTTTGGTGTAGTGCAAAGTGAGAATCTGCTCTGCTGAAAGCGTATTAGCTTCTTCTTCACTGTATAGTCCGTGTTCGACTTTAACCAACTGCGGAAGAGAAAAATAGTCGATGAATCCCTTTAAGGAGTAAGATGTTGTGCTCCAGGTGATGTCATCAAACATTATGTGCTTGTTAAATCGACAGCGTGATCAACACTGTACACAATTTGGAAGACGGAAGAGTTGAGTTGTGATGAATTAGTCGCTAACTTAGTAGACCATAACGGGAGTTGTTTTGATAGAGCTGCCAATGACTGAATCGATCAACAGCTTCGTCACTTCAGAATCCAAGTGTGTTCTTCGAGAGCCGTTAATCAACAGTTAAATAGTGTACAATATATTTTCACGTTGGTTCGTCCCTTAAATCGTCTTTGTTTATACGACTGCTACCGCTTATGCGCATGGCAAAGAGAAATGAAAGCGTGACGTCTATCAATAAAATCTGCCTCTTAATCGATCGGCGGTTCCATCCGTTTTGTCTTCATTCAAATCAGCGTATGTAGTGAAATGAATTGAATTCTAATATTGTTTCTAGTATTGTTTATCATCAAATTTTTAGCTATATAATAAAGGCACCGCCGGGACATAAAATTTGTGACTGTGACGGCGTTTCGAATCGATATAAAATCATGATAATGAGTGTGGTATAGAGAGCCTAGAATTCCTTTTCGAATTACCCACTCAATAAAAACCGTGATCAGTTCCCCTTTAAAAAGAATATGAATCGGCAAAAATTATACATATTTCAATTTGGACAAGTCGTAACTAGTTTGGCTGGCATCATTCAAGAATTTACATGTTGTCGATTGTTTAAGCAACAGGAGTGGGGTAAGGAAGTGGATGCGGAAATACAACAAAATCAGGCAGATTTAAAAATGTTTGTGAGATTCAAAAATAATTTCTTCCCTAGAGAAACATTATTTTTGGATAGAACTCATCAAGGAAAATGTTTCAGGCTATTGGGGGTTTTATTAGCCTGCTTAAATACCATGTTAGGTCAGTGATTGAGACTAACTCCACCCCCTCTTAAATTTCTTTTTTTAACTTGGCTGACATCAAGCTATTATACATAAACTGCGCTTCAGTCTAAGTGTCTCGGTGATACTGTCACAAGTTGAGCACTGAAAAGTGAATACGTAGTACGGAAACATGAACGATCTGAACGATTCCAGCTGGCTCTGCAATTTCGTGGTAGACTGCCGTCTTCCTGAAACTGTACAGGTTGTCGAAGGGTACGAATCTCTTGATTCAGAGGAATTATCGTGGTGTCAAGACGATATTGTTAACTTGCATGCTTTAAAGGAAGTGTCTCGAATCATAGCCCGAGATGCGAATGGAAATCACTTTTCGATCCCTTTAACTTATCCTGGAAAAATATTCGAGATTATTCCAATGGGATGCGCTGACCGATACGTAACGGTCGAAGAGCTTCTGGTTCCCTTTCCAAAGTATGTTCGATCGCTACGAGATATACCAGAACGTGATGTGGCTGTTGGAGGCATAATTGAACTCCTAGAAGCATCGCAGAGCGGCCGAGGTCACAAGCAAATTAAGTGCAGAGTAATGGGAAGCACGCGCACGATACTGCTTTCCGGTAACCAGTTGGGACCTTTTGAGACTCTCCGAAATGCTTCTCCAATGTGCATTAAAGATGTACTAAATCAAACTCCCCTTCCAACCAGGGTAAGAGTCTTAACAGGCAAAGCTAAAGCGTTCAATGAATGTAATACAAATCCGCTTGTGCCGTTCGAGGGATTGTTTGTTCTGGAGCAGGCAGTGAAGCGAAAAATTCTAATTGTTTCAACCTTGGTGGAGAAACAGTTGAGAATTTTGAAGATGCCAATCGACCTAGAAATAACGGTTAAAAGAGCGATGTTAAATATCCGCCCAAACGTATTCTCCCAAATTTGTCATTTAATCGAAAGTGAAGTTAACATAAATTCTACAATCACATGCGGCAGCACTGGAGACGCGTCTTGGTACTTTGACGACATCAGCGATGACTTGTACGGAAAGCTGGAAAGTGATAACAACGAATTCTATGAAGAATTACGGCCGCTTCTTCCACCTCGAACGCCGCCTCTAACTTCATTGTCAGATGGGTTGCCCTCGAAGCGAAATAGTATAGACAACAAAAAGGCTGAAGCTCGCTATGCTCCACCTCCCAGGCCAAAACTGTTGGGGAAGCCCTCTGCGCCAGCCGTTCAAACGCTTGGCAACATCATGCTGACTGCTCCTCCTCGTCCAGGTGCAAAAAAGCCAATGCAGCCCAACTCGCCAAAGCCACCGCGGTCAGAAACTATTGCTGCTAAGAGAAACACTCCAGGTCAATGTGTTTCACGGTCTGGGCGAGAACCCGATAGTGCACCAAGGCATGAAGCAGGAAGCCCAGAGGCTCCCGGTGCTGAAAAGATGGCAGTTCAAAGAGACGGAAAAAAATCCATGGCAAGACTACTGGAGAAGGTAGATACTAAAACGAATGCGAATCTAGAAGAGCAAGAGGATTGCGAAGATACATATGAAACGATATCCGAAGTTTCGTCAAAGCAGCAGTCAGGTCCAGTCAGCGGAGACACGCTCGCCAAAGCCAGTCCCCATCAAATAGATTCACAACAACAAGACGACCCTGCAGCAGAATTTCGAAAAAGTTTGCCAAACTTATCAGTATCTGAGGTCAGCGAGTGGTTGAGAAAGCTGGGATTAAACCAGTATGTGAAATCATTCGTTCAAGAGGACGTAGATGGGACAATGTTACTGGAGATGGATGACGAAATGATGCAGTGTATTGGAATTGACAACGCGCTTCACAGAAAGAAACTCCTGATGTTCATTGAGCGAGGTTGGACTCCGAAGCGGAATTAAGATGGTTTGTTTTGCTGATATATTTTGCTGCATTTTCTGATTGTGAGCATGTTAACTCCTATATTAACATTTATTTCTGTTATTATAGTTTTTAATGATAATTTGAATCGGTTGCCAGATTTTCAGTTTAGAGTAATTCCTCAAATCTTGAGCCTCCTGCGAAGGCGGAAGCGTTTTTGCGGAAAGAAAATATATAAAGCATATTTAGCTCTACGTTTCATGAACATTAAAGGCTGACAGAGATAGTTTTTGAAAACTTAAATTTAGGTCCTCACAAACGACCGACGAATATATATAGACTTTATGTTTTATTGTAAATAGTATATATATGTAATATAAATACCAGAAGTACAATGTTTTATCAACTGAAGATTTGACTAGGCATTTTGTTACTCTACGGTTTCGTAATCGTGTAGGCATTTTATTACTATATAGTTTTCGTACTAGTCAAATCTTCCGCTGATAGAACATTAAACTTCTAGTATTCTCGCTCTAGTCCTTCTATTGAGATAATATATCTTGAATAGTCACTCGAATGAAATGTGAATTAATACTGGCAAATATTCCTTGAGAGAGCAAATACACTTCCAGCAATACGATCGTAAGGTTATTTGGATACTGATATGCAGAAAACAATATTTTGGTAGCTTAAAATAACACTTCAAGTTTATCCTGTAATTGTATTCTAACTCTTATCTTTTACTGTGAAGAGACAATTTTGTAAATAGTTTCGCCAAAATTAACTTAAAGATGAGAATTATTGGTAAGTGCCCCAAGAAACTACCTTTTGTTACACAATACCACCCGAGTTTAGCCTTAAGAAAATACTATAGTAGGGAAATGGCATCCTATACAAAACCACAAACGACTAAGATAAATCTTTATAAGGAGCCTCCCTTCATATCACATGGCAAGGGAAAATCCCTTAAGGGCCTATTAGTTAGAGCGAAGCTCTAAAGGTCAGATAACTTCCTTTACGACTAAGTGCAAGAGTCGTGTGTTGCCCCTCGCCAATTTTTAAACTATAGTTTCGGTAGAAACTTCCATCAGCAAGCTGTCATTTCTAACCAATTGCCAGCTAATTTTTCTTTACCATACGACATTTCCCAGCCAGCATCATATTGCCTGCGGAATGCGGAGGTACCTACTCTGCACTATTGTTTCACTTCAGGGTGAAATATCAGTAATCTTTTCTGATCGAGTTTGTTCTCTTAGAATGAATACTCTTCGGTAGTATCATGTCTTACAATTCAACACATTTTGTTTATCATTTCTTTAGGTAGGCTACTGAAGATATTTATTCCTTTTCCTGTTTTGAGGCTGAAATGAGATATTCGAATTGACGCAAACGTCACCAAGGAACTGATCAAAAATAAAAAACAGCATGTAACAAGGAAAATGTAATGTGATAGAATTCTTTTTACACAATTTTAAAGGTCTCAGTTATAAAATGCTATATACACTGTACCCAGTTACACACGGTCTAACATTTGGTCAACAAATGTTGCTGCCTTCGTTTCGTTTTTTTTTTCAAGTTTTAGCTTGTGATCAACGGGAAAGAGCGTTCCTGTCAGTGTCCCCTCGGAACATTTCCATACGCTGTTCAATATTTGTTGCCCAGCAGTTGCAACTTTTGGCTACATTGTACTTGAGTTTATGACAAAGGATAAACAAATAAATGTTATTTTGTTCAACCAAATAGTGGTTAATTCGGGTGTAGAGGTTGAAATGAGTGCTTTACCGCCACAACACGGCCCGGGGGAGGGGGGGACTCCGCATATGAAAGGGGTGGGGATGCTCGTCGGAAATTTTGAATTAAACCCCTAAAGCTATTTTTACCCCTAAAAGAGACCATGTTAGTGGTGATAGGCTCCTGACAATATGTGTATTTTAATATATTTTTTCCTGTGCAATCCTAAACGAGACCTTCACAGCTAAATATGATGGCGTTTTGCGCAGAACACCCTAAGTGAGACCAAAATCCGAAATTTACACCCCTAAGCGAGACGACGAGCATCCCCACCCCTTTCATATGCGGAGTCCCGCCCACCCCAGGGCAACACAGCCGAGCAATCCATACGGCAACATCTGGGTAGCGTTTCAGCTGGCCCGGGAATAAAATTTTGACCTCAACTTCTTTAACTACCTAGATCTTATCCCATCATTGATCCTAAAATACAGCCTAAATAGTTTGTTCAGATTTCACTCAAGTTAAGCGCGAGATGTTTCAGCAAACCGCAAAACTCAGTGAAAGTTCTGATCAAGGGTCATAATGCAATTTAATCGTTTTGGTTTTGTCCAGAACTTTCGGTATGGGGTGTTTTTACCGCAGTGTTTTTTTTTTCAGAAATACGAATGTTTCATTATTTCGAGTGTTCTCATAAATTGTAAGTAACTAGAAAACTTGACAGAATAGAAAAAGGGGAGGGGGAACTAAGGTCGTGAAATTTAATGTAACTACTCATCACAGCAACCAAGTTCCCATTTTCCTTTTCTCCTCTGTAAGGTGACAGGACTGAAAGAAGACAATTGTTATTGAGCTTGCGCGTGTTAAAGCGAATTAGTTTGCTTTCATCTTAGGCTTCGATAAATATGTTTCAATATCGTTATAGCCATAACAATTCTTCATATTTTAAACATCACCTATGTTTACACAGGAAAATACTATTTTTCTTGATCAAATGCTCGGCTTTCTGTTTCCTATCATTAAATACATTAGAAATACTGACCACATATTTAGGGCTTTGCTTACAACTCCAGAAATCCGGTGTTGTCGATTAATGTGACAAATTAAAATGTTTCACTATTTTGATGGACACACTCCTATTTTTAATTCCCGTTTACCGGGTATGTAATTATCTTGTCATTTGGTTTGCCCGGCAGAGCCAATACTATATACTATGTATTCCGGAAGAAAAAAAAAAGTTATGGAATTTTTCCTTTTATAACGTTTTTCGGCAATTTTGGGGACTCTCCTTAACGATTTTTCAGTATCATTAAAATATGTTAGTATCCAGAAACATTTAATGACTTCTTTGTAGTAAACAATAATATACAGTCCTATATAAAAGTTCAGCTTAAAAAATACACATTGATTTGAAACTAACTAAAAGGAAGAATTATGAAAAACTTTCTCCTTAATGCAGAGATGCTATAACGTGGGATAGTTTACCAAACGATTTAAAAGAATTAAAGCCCAGAAACGCATTTAAGAAAGCATTACATTTATATGTTAAAAATCAGGTCAGGTAACACCTTGATCAATTTATATGGAAAGTGAAACTCATTATGCTACCGTTCATCAACTACGTAAAATAACGGATTCACCATTTTCACATAATGCACCTTGTTAACCCCTCCCAAAACTTTGTATAACCATTGTCTTGGATCAGTCTATTGGGACGACTGTAATACCCAGCAGAAACTGAAAACAATGGTTATGCAAAATTCTGGGGGTAAACAAGGTATATTATGGAGTATGCCGTGAAAGTAGTGATTTAGGGAAAATGACTCTAAAAACGCTCATCTGCAGTAGAGCTTGCTGTGTTATCCTTTGTCCTTAATATTGTGATAAAAAATTGTGCAAAGATGGTCAGCTCGTCACCAGGCAATAAAACACATCGGTTTAAAATAACCTACCCATATCATTTTTCTTAAGAATTCGAATTAATCAGCAGTTTATCAGTTTACGTCGCCAGGTGTGATCTTTAAAAACTGCAGCCATTCTAACTAGGCCATTAGACACGAGTTTTGTTTTTATAGTTGACCAACAACGACTTAAGGTAATGTTAAACGAGACGATTCACAACGACGATTGTTAGCTCAACGAAGCGTTGCAACATTGTTGCGACAGGGTTTCGAATAGTTACAATATCGTTCCAACATTACAACGCTGTGTTGCACTAAAAATCGTCGTTGCGAATCGTTCCGTGTAACATCACCTTAACTTCAAGAGCAGTAATGAAATTCTAGTTAGATGTGATTCAGTACCAGATGGTATGCAAGTTGATGATTGTTTATTTCTTAAATAATAAACGCGCCGAGCGCACTTGTAAGTTAGTTGAAGAAGTGCAAAAGAAACACGAAAAGCCGGGATCGCAAAAGAATATCTTCCTCCACTGAAAATCTCTGCTTAGATTAAAGCGAAATATTTGAAATTATTGAGACACCGATTCATTATAATTTGCACAACAAAAAACACCGCACTGCCGAATCAGCTAAAAACAGTTCGTTGGATATTATCTGGTAAGGTGTTATTGACTGTGGATGACATTTCTCCAGCATGAATTCGAAGAAGAGGTTGGCGAGAGCTGTGACCGGAGAAATCTCTACTGAATCGTTGGACACTTGTAAAGAAATAAGAAAGACAAGCTTCATTTTTTTCGTTTTCTGAGCCAAAACAGACGAGCATCAGCGAATGACGGATATTGTCAACTGAAGCCTGTTCGGGTATTACTGCGCTATTGTCTCGGAAAGTTGTCATCTGACAAGTCGGCTCAGTTACACAATATCAGCCCTGGCACATTAGTTTGTTCATACAACTTTCGAAAGCATGACCCATCAGTCCATGATTTCCTTCCGAGAGTATCGACCAAGAAGAAAATGCTAATGGCTGGTTGTCCTTTTTTTTGCGGCACTCTCCAATTTTAAAACAATGCGCGGTTTTTTAAGACAAATGATTTAAACATGCATTATGATTAATTTGTGTTACCAACTCTATCCAAAGCAAACAGTCACCCAGTCCTCCTTGAGATACAATCTTGTACAATATAGATCGAGAATTAAGATTATTCTGACCGCCCTCCGAACCAAGGTATAGGGAAAATGGCGCTTTTTTGGCCTTCGCGCGGTTCATCCTTCATTTCAGAAGGACTTAAAGGGTATTTGTTTTTCTATTTAATTTTGTCCAGGACACCCATACTAACCTGTGGTAGTATTTCTGTTGTTTTCCAAAATAATGGGATTATATGTTTTATCCAAAATACCTTGTTTCTGCACCTTCATGACCCTAACGATGCATTCTTTTCTTTTCTTCCTTAAAAAGATAATATGAATATAATAGGAATATCAGGTTGTTTATTTCTTTAGTGAATAATCAATAATGTTATTATAGAAAAAAAAGCCTGAACCTTTCTACACAGCAATCCACTGAGTTATTTCAGTTCAAAAGCATTAATTCGTGAAAGATCTTTAGTATTCTTTGATTGTGTATGTCCAGAAGCAAGGTATTATCGTTCCGATGAAGCTGTGAGCCTTCTACCAACTTTGGGAGCTATACGGGTTTGCCAATTGCAATAGCACAAAATTATTTAAGGGAGTGATGAGCAGAAAGGATGGTATCCGAGCAGTATTTAGCCTGTACACAGATGTTGCTTTATGTGGCTGTTCGATAATCGGGGAGCGCTCTAGAGCGAGCGCGCTGCGCTCTAGCGGTCAGTTAATTCCCCGCTGTTTTTGTTTTTATCACTCTCGCTCGGAGAAAATAGAGGGTGTGTGAACAGGCTAAGCAGTATTATAGTCAAGTTTTAACTTACTGGCCATATCAAACTAAGTTTCCACTGCTTATAAAAGAGCAAATCTTAACGATTTCTGATAAAAAGTGAAAAAGACCCTACCATGCTGAGAGAACTTTCCACGCATGAGCTTTAAAGTGCACTCAAGTACATGTACCCCTATGATGAACTCATGAAAATCGAAAGTTATGCATCAATTTAGTGTACTCGCTGACGAACTGACCTTCCTATTTATATGTAGATTCTCTTTTGCTTTCTGAAGTAAATATTATTTGTCAATGACGTCTTCATTTGTCTTTAGAATTAAAATGAAAAAAATGATTAATAATAATGTTTCTGACTCTCCTAAAGTGAACGATACTGTAAACTGATTAAAGAGGCTGGTCATCAACGAAACATTAACGCTCTTTTGCGGATTCTTCGTCTATTTAATTTAATTTAATCTTTTTTGACACTATAAGGGCCTATAACTTACCAACCTGAAGAAATGACAAGGGTTCCATCAAACACGAAAGAAGTTGAAGGAAAACATGTCATCATTACAATTCACTTTCGATGTTTAAATTAGGCGAAACTGTCATGCAATATTTTGTTAACAAAATAATTACGGAAGGTGATTAAAACGTTTTTAGAAAACGACAGTCAACTGACATACGAAACTACAGCAGTTTCATCGATTCCACATGTGGGAAGTTATTCCTTGGCGAGGGAATTTGACGGCTCATCATTAAGTTGACAAGTTACAAGGTTTCTTTCAAGAGGAAGTTTCTTGTGGAGAAACAACTTCATATGCAATACTTCGTTCTGCCTCTAAATTGTGTCCTTAACAGAACTTCACTGGCTAAGACGTTTCTCGGGTAATGTCAAGAAATTAAGAAATTAATGTAATGTCGGACTTTGTTTCGCCAAAGCCTGCAGACACTTCTCTTTATTTGAGGGATTTTATCGAGAAGTTCCCTCTTCCTCAAGTGGTGAAGGTGTATGAAGGCTATTATGACAAACAGCAGAGGTCAACTGTAAGTGCCGATGCGGTTTACAGGTTGATAAGTTTGGAAAGCGTCGAAACAGTGTTACTTGAAGATGCAGATGGACAGGAGACTCGCATCCCGATCGACTACTCATGTACAGTTGAACGTATGGCTGAGGAAAAATTCCAACAGCGACAATTGGGGATTCCGGAACTTCTTCATGAACATAATTCTGGTGTGAAGTTCGTTCGTGTGATTGAAAGTGATCCGAATTACGAGTCGTTGGTCAAAGTTGGTGATAAGTTGAAGATAGACCAGAAAAAGAGAAAAACTGGCGAAACATTTTTGCCTTTCAAAAACGTTAATGATAAAGGGATGTTGTCAAATTGAAGGGGACCCTAGTCGAGTCGTTTGTAAAGGCAACTACAGAAGACCAAGATGTGAAGACAGAGCTGTCATTCCCCATAATGTTGCCCATAAGCGTCATGGCTGTAGAAATGGACCCCTCTAAATCGCCCGGTGCAAAATTCGATAGCGACATCAATGAAGCTACTGACGAATATGAAGACATGTCAGGATATCGAGTAAAAAGCGACCTTGAATCACCTTGTCTGAAAATGCCACCTCAAAGAAATAAGGAGGCCAACGACAAGCCTCTGGCTATATCAGAGTTCCAAATGAGTGGAGAAAGGGTACACCATGGAAATACGTATTCGCCACCCCCGTCTATGAAAGTAGCAAGAAGCAATAGTCTGTTGGGCCAGGGGAAGCGAAATAGTTTATTTCAAAGAACTCTAAGCAACCTTGAACTTAGAACAAACACCACCGAAAGCGAAGAGAACGTTTACGACGATCTGAATTTTAATTATCTCAATGTAGAAAAACTTAAAAGCAGATCATTGTCATCAGTGCCAAGAAGGAAAAGTGACTCGAGTACAGAACAACTGTCGAAACAGAAATTAAATAATTTACTGCAGGTACAAGCTCAAAGCTTGCAAGGTGACGACGTTCAAGGAAAAGTAGAAACAGTTTCATTACAAATTCATAGGAAGTCCCTGGTTTACAACGAACCTTCAAGGAAGATGAACACGTTCGGGAGGAAAGGAACAACAGGCGGGGAAACTGAAAGTGTTCGCTCTGACGTCAATGCACTTGATTCTATTCTTGAGGACCAGTCATATTCTTCGAATCCTTCACTGTCATCAAGGTTAGAGGCAAAAAACTCGCCTTTCTATGGCTCTGAAGAAATGAATCTTGAAACAGAGCCAAAAGTCCTACCAGCGTTTCGTGTCCCAAGAAGATCAAGCGCTGACGTACTTCCTCCTCTTCCTAAACTACAGGAGCCTTGCCCAGTCCCAAGAGAGATAAAGGGAAAACTCAGTCTGACTGCCAGTAAAGTCCAAGTATTGCCAGTTAACAGCAAAGAAATAAAGGAAAATCTTCCACAACCATCCCCAAGACGTGACAAAGTTACAATTCAGAATCGAAACCAAAAAAACCAATTGCCATCCAGCGCTGGAATTGAAAAAGATACCTGCGTAAATGAAGGCATTTTACCAGTTTGTCAGAGTCAAGATGATACACCTCCGCCAATCCCTTCAAGAAACAAACAAAGAGATGGTATTTCTTCTCCCGTGAGCTCCCCGACGCCAGACGTTGACGCTCCAAGCAGTAGAGTTGGTCAACCTGTCCCACCCTCCAGGGAGAAGTCCCGTTCATTCCATGGCATAGAACAAGGGAATCCAACGATGGTATCAAGCCCAGATGGGAAAGCCCCATCGGGGTCTCTATCCCCTGTGGCAAAGCCTCGTTCAGTTTCTGCCTCCTTTCTTGAAAAAGGGAACGAAAAAGAAGCCTCGGCAACTTCTCAGCAACTTCAAGGGGCACAAACAAGGCACGTGTCTGGAGAAAACCCACAAATACCTGTCTCGGAAAAAGCGGAGTCCAAGTTTACCATACCAGAAGATTTGAGCTCTCTAAGAGTAACTGAGGTTTTGCAATGCCTTCGGAAATTGAACATGCATCACTTTGAAGGGATCTTCAAGGAACGACAAGTCGATGGCAGCATGCTAGTATGTTTGGATGAAGAGGCTCTGGAATCATTTGGAATGGATCGGTTCTATCGTTTGAAGCTCTTGCGCTTTATTGCTGGATGGAGGCCACAGCTTTAGACACTGTCAAAATTGAACAGCTCGATTAACCCCTTTAGTTCCAAGAGTGACCAACATCAATTTTCTCCAAACAATATCCATACATTATCAAGCGAAAATGCTTTGATCTTATCAAATTCTCTCAACCCGTTCTTTAAGGAAATGTATGGAGATCAGTTTGGAGAATTTGTAAGTGGATATTGGGGCTTTAAGTGTTAAAATGCTCCCTTGCAGTTGCCTCTTTGTTTCCTATTTGCATTCTAAAAGGGATTTGAAAGACTTAGACTTGCCAGTTTTTTAGTACTGACTATTTTCTTATAAGACTTGTGGTCTTTGAAGAGAAATCAAGTAATGAACAAGCAGTTGAGGATATGCAGCAAACCAGTGCTCAGTAAAACATTGCAGTGGTCACGGGTTTCTGTTAATTCGAAAAGCAGTTGGTTTAATTCTCTCGAGTGTATAATCAAGAAGAGGAGAAGTTAAAAAAAAAAACAAAATGCCAATTTTTTTTTTTTTTAATGTTGGTATCGGCTCAGGGTCCAGGGGCCTGTTTCTCGAAAGGCCCGAAAACCTTCCTGGTCCGAAGGCAAATTTTGAAATCAGAACCTGTTGAATAGTAGTACAGTTCCTAGCTTATAAACCGGTCAATTTTGATTCGTTCATTGATAGGTTCATTGTATCATTTAAAAAATTAATGAAACTGGAATGAAAACATGGCAAACATAAAACAGCTTTTGGGGCCCGAAAAGTTATCGGGACTTTCGAGAAACGGACCCCAACAGGATCCAAGCAGTCCATTCCCAAGTATTCGTAGAGATCAGTCCTCTGAGGGCACATTATATCTTTATTGTAACGGAGGGGTACCTTCCATTGTTAAACTTATGAAATGCTTAAACAGCTTCATTGTGCACGAATATTGTAAATATTTTCGATATGTTCCATCTCTTCATTAATGAATATAGTTAAGACAGATTGTTATAAGGATGTTTCTTAATCACAATAAATATATCAAGCAGCTCTAACGCTGCAAAATAACAGCATCATAGCAGCAATTTACTTATGTTATCAATTTGACGCAGTTTCGGTGGCATAATGATGTAATTCGTTTATTAAACAGGAGCATCTTTCGGATGAACATCGTACTCTTCCTCTTAATCTATAATCAAACAAAGACGACGATTCACCTTTCGGTAATTCTTGCAAGAACTTGTTGTTATTGAAGTCAGCAGTAATCCTCGTCGTCTTTCCGTCGTCGCCAAGAATCGCTGCGAAGTAGGGAATGAAAATTTCAAATTAAAGTGAACTTTATAACCTTTTGCATTAAAACATGTAACGGAAAAGAAATGGGCAAGAAATGGTGTCATTATGGAGTTGTAGATTGTCAGTTGAATGATGCTTATTTATGGAAGAGGCGAGTACTTTGAGCAAGTGAACAAAAGAAAAAAAATTTGTGCGTGACGGAGAAGCCATCATGTCGAAAGTCAACTTAGCATATACCGATTGAAAAAAGGGGTCAATGCAGTCTAGTTTTAAGGAACGGTGCAATGGGAGCAAGGGTTTTAGTCTTTGAAATTCTAAACGGGCCTAATGACTTGAACATGGATATTCGCCGACAGTTTTCACTCGCGGCGCTACATATTCAAGGCTCTTTAGGTCAAAAGAACTGCAACCCAGAACTTGGTGATTCTCATACCCGTACGCTGTAGAAGAAAAAAGAAAAAAATGGCCAACATCAAGCCATCTTGAATCAACCCACATAGTTGCAAAGGGCCCCTCTAGACGTCTCATCTGCATCATGCATCTCACCATTTTAATATTTTCCTCAAAATCGCCACTTTCTAAGAGTTCCCTTTTGTCATCTCATTTGAATATTCTCCAAACCCCTGGCACATTTTTGTCAATTTGCCATTTTTGCCATATTGGCCCTTTTTGGCAGATTCTTCATTGTCGTGAAATCACCATCTTCGAAATTCAGCCATCCTATTTGAATATTTGCAAGGTTAATCTTCGCCGGTTTTTCATGTTTCTGATCAGATTCGCAATGTTTAGTCAAATCTGCTATCTTTGTCAAATTCGCCACTTTGCAAGACGTGCCTCTTGATAACCCAATCGAATTTTTTACAAACCCTTGTACTACTAAGAATTATGTTAGTAACTTTTAGCAAGACCAGACCATTCATTAATAGAAACATTTCCCTTTGGCCACTTTAGGTAATACGAAATATTGGTTAAGCGGGAATTTTCGCCCCCACCTCAAAAATCGCATTGACGTTTCAATATAGATTCCATATTTTGACAGCTTTGTTAGTGACGTGAGCAGGTAGGTAGCTTTAAAACGATTCTATTTTTGGGATTTTCCGCTTCTATATTTTCCGCTTTGGAAGGATATTTTCATCCTTGCTTCCTTTATTTCAATCCGAGTGACGGAAATCCTGTAACACCTCTCGCCGCTAAGGGTTTTCACAGTCTGCCTAAACGGAATTTCCGTTAATTTAGAACCATAGCATTGGCAATTCTAAAAGGCTTCCTCAAGAAAGTCCGGGCAGGCATGCCACACAGAGAAGAGGACTTAGTACAACTATTCACTACTGATGAAAGCACCGTGTGAGCGAAAGAGATTGATTCACACTTACAAAGTGTCCGTTTGAAATTGTTTCCAAAAAGTACAATTATGTATTCTCAGCAAGACGTATTAAACGAATTACTGGATAGTCATTTTCTTAAAACAAAAAGTAAAGATGTAAGGCTAGCTGTGCAGTTATCAGATTGTAATATTATACATGTAGCCGGATTTATGAAAAGATTACCGCCAAATGGACCTTTTGCGTCCGAAGACTATCTCCAAAGTAGCCATTATGAAAACTAAGAGTCAGCAGCCATTGCTTTTTTCTCTTCTCCTCCTTTCCTTCTCCTCGCTATTTCTTTTTCTCCTTTCCTTTTCCTTCGTTACTGTGACTTTGGAGCTTATCGGGCTTAAGATCATTTCTGGATGTAAATCTTGTAGAAAAATAGATACTCCATTTATATACAGCATAGTTAATAGCGGAGCTCCAAGCGAACGCGCGTAGCAGCATACCTAAGACTACCCATCCGAGAAATTTTGGTAATCACGCCTGACCTTTTTTTTGTTAATTTAATCCTTTTGTTATTTTTTCACTGTTCTCGTTCTTGGAGGGCATTGAGAAAATGAAGGCAAAAGTCTGAATGAAATCAGCGTGCATTTACGCGTTGGATGGCTTTTATTTTTTTGCCCGAAACTGGCTAGAAATGACTGAACATATAGTGCCATTTGAATTTTTAAAAACTATAATAAACATGAAAACTTATTTGTAAGTGTTGTGTACCAATTTCAAACTAACACTTTGGCGTATTTGGTAGACCTGAGTGCGTTTGGCTTCAATAGAGTACTAAAGTGTGACGTCATAAAAATGAAATTTCTGAAATTATGGGATTTGTCAGGATATTCTGAAAGAACAATGTCCAAGAGGCCTACTTGTAAAAAATGAGCATTTGGGGGCAAATTGTCTCTGAGATCGTAGCCCAGTTATGCTTACAAAACTCCATACAAACTCTTCTAAATTTTTTTTGGGTCGACCCCAAAAAAAATTAGAAGGGTTTGTATAGAGTTTTCTGATTGAAAAATCGAATTTAGGACCTTCATCCATAAAAGAGATGAAAGCTGCAACTAATAGAGGAAACATACACGCGGCGAATAGATTCACCGGAAATACTTCAAAGAAATCGCGTTAAAAGAAATTATACATCACAGTACATATAATTCAATAGAGAGCTTCCTTTATTACTTTTTTTACATTTGTCAAATGAATTGTTATAGGCGGTTCGTTCGTTGCAATCTTATAATAACGAGGCATTTCAACAGCATGATAATCCACTTCTCAATCATTAAACGCGAGCATGTTTTGGATGAACATCATAATCTTTTTCATCTTCTAACAGCTCATCTCCCTGAGTCCCGGGAATTAAACTGTCCGGTACCTCGTCCGGGTAAGTATCCTTTTTGAGGTCGGCAAGGTTTACATCACCGTCGTCCATCTGCAATCCGCTCCTTCGACGACGACGTCGTCTTCGCCAAGCATCGCTAAAAAAAACAAAGAAATATGAAGGGTTTTAAAAGAAGAAAAGAGCTATGATTAAGACTTTAAAGACTCTAAAGAAATATAACAACTAGTACTTTCCAAACTTCACTTGATTTCCAAATGATGATAACTGCACGGTCGGTTTTTGGAGCATTGAAAAATTGGTTGTTTCCGTGGTGACACGGTTAGTAGAGGAGACTGGTTATGAAAGCGCCGGCAAACATCAAAGTTGAAAACAACGGTGTTGTAGTTATGTTGGAAACTTCCCTGACCCGTGTACAATAATACTTTGTGTTTTGTTCACAAATTGTTACAAGTGAATAAATTAACGTAATGTTACGTTTCCATTAGTCATTAAGTTCAAAATAATAGGAATCACTACTGAACGTTGTGCACGGTCAGGAGTGACATACGACGAAGGAGTCCGACTGCTTTCATAACCATTCCACTTTACTAACTATGTTGGTGATGTCCTGTTATGATGACCCATCCGATATCACTACTAATAACCCAGAAATAGGTCACTGCTCCGAATTCTTTTTTCTTTCTCAGTCACTAACTGTTAGCTGATGTTTCAAATGCCACATCTTCTCTCTCGCCCGAAAATCATGAACTCTATCTTATCTTATGGCTAACATTCTCCATCATAATAATATAAATTCGCATTGAAAACTGACAGCTTACCTGTCATTCAGAAACAAGGATGCAACTACAAACATCAAGAGAATTGCAACCCAGAACTTGCTCATGTTTTAACTTGTCTGAAAGATAAATGAATAGGCAATTATAGACCTTCAGCGACTAGAAAGTTACATTTATTTATTCTTTACGACTAAGTTTTCTTTCGCACAAAAAGAAACAACTGGTGCGTCCAAATTTTTAGTGTTTCAACCAGATGAAATTTTTTTAAAAAATTTCAAATTC